TATATGTATATGTATACGTATATATAAATATATATGTACTCTATAGAGAATATAATAATTAATTATTAGGAGTTATTTTAATATTATGTTTAGTTAGCAAATTGACAGTAGAAAGTTATCCCCTGTAGACACATATGTTCTTATCTCCATTTTCCATGCCAGGTATGGTTCCTTCTCATGTAGTTGGCTTTTAATCCAACAGAAAATGATTGGTCAATCCCATAATATTTGTGTACTATCACATCCACATGAATATTTTGCAAGACTAATGATTACTATAGCTCACTGGGTTCATAGATGGAAAAGACTTTGGTTATCTTTCTCCTCAAACTATTTCACAAAATAGAAAGTGAAAGGAAAATTTTCAAATGATTTTAATAAAGCAAGTATGACCCTGGTGCCAAGACCTGACAAAGACTCAACAAAAAAGAAAATTATGTTACAATCTCTCTGATAAGCATAGAGGCAAAAATCTTCAATAAATATTTTTGTAAAATGAATTCAAGAACACATAAAGAAGAGTACTTACCATGATAAAGTCATCTGTATCTCTAAGATGGTTGAGAATTTTAAAATCAATAAATGCAATGCAATGCAATGCAAAAACATACTCAAGGGCAGAAACCACTTGATTATCTAATTAGATACTGAAAGGCCTTTGACAAAATCCAGCATACTTTCATGAAAAAAGTCTTTTTTTTTTTGTTTTGTTTTGTTTTGAGACAGGGTTTGTCTGTGCAGTCTTGGCTGTCCTGGAACTCACTCTGTAGACCAGGCTGGCCTCGAACTCAGAAATCTGCCTTTCTCTGCCTCCCAAGTGCTGGGATTAAAGGCGTGCGCCACCACTGTCTGAAAAGTCTTGTTGAATGAAAAAGGAGACACATCCCAACCGAATAATGAAAATATATAACAAGGCTGTGGACAACATCACATAAATGGAGAAAAAGCATTTCCAGTATCACGAAGAGTATGACAAGATCTATCCTCCTTCCAGTTCAATACAGTACTTAAAGTCTTAGCGAGGGAAATAAGACAAGTGAAGGAAATAAAGCAGATCCAGATAAGAAAGGAAGAAGGTCAAAGTATTCTTTACTTGTTTATGATATGACTCTGTACACACACACACACACACACACACACACGCACACATTCAGTTATCTCTTGTTTCACATCATGACCACAAACTTGCAAAGAGTTATTAATTTATCTGTAGCATACAAAACAAGTAGAAATTTCAGCTAAAAATAATCTAATTTAGAAATGACTGTCCTTTGGAACAGCCTTTCCTTATATTTAAGCTTTGGCATGAATGCCTCAGAGGCAATGGACTTTAGCCCTGTGTTTCATTGGAAAAAGAAAGTAAACATGAATCTTTACAGTTTTATTAAAGTCATTCATGATGCACTGCAGATTTGCCATTAAAGTTCAAAGAGAGTTTAACTCTGGCTTCTCAATTCAACAAGGAAGCTTCACCTATGTTACTTTGAGAAGTCCAGCTAAGCCACATCCACTTGTTGACAATTAAATTTCTATTAACTAATTAGGCATTTTCACGAACAATTGAAAATGAAATAGTATTTTTACAGTTTCAAAATCAGCAACTGGTGTAATGTCAATTGATGGGCATTTCCTTGAACAGAGTGCTGTGAAGCTTACACATGACTAAAAGCAAACAGTGGTAGCCAGTGGAGCTATTCCCCAGAGAGAAGCATGTAAAATAAAAAACTGAATATATCATATTTGTCTAAAGGTGGCTCTTACCTACAGACAAAGCTGGGTATAGTTTTTCCCTTCCTTCTAATCTGCCTAGCTTTACAGCAAAGGAAAGTTGTTATGGATGGATATAAATAATGAGGGACCAGAAATAAAAGCTGCTAAATATCTTCCAGCACAAAAATAAAAGATTAGCTTGTGTGGGCATAAAGTATTAAACCTAAAGCGACTGGAACTGTGCTTATTAAATTCCTGAGACACTGTTGGGAGCTTTATTTAAGTGACATCTCCTTGGTTTCACATTCTACCCTTCATACATGTGTGTAATAAAACACGTATCTCTTCAGGAAAATAAAAACAAAATTGAAGCTAACAAACAAAAAAACCCAAAACAAACAAACAAACAAAAGACAGAAAACAAGGGAAATGTGACTTACTCATCTCCACCTCCAAGGGTGATTAGTCCCTTCTTCTGGCCACCATCATGCATTCCCTCCGTCACCCTGTACATGTCTGACAGGACAATAGGGACAGCTGCAGCAATCAACAATAATGTGTGTGTTGGGGGGTGGGTGGCAAACTCTGGTCTGGCCCTGGGTCACCTTTAAGGATGATGTCATATCATCATGCTCTATCATATCTAGTTATTAATCCTCCTCTTCCAACTTGTCACAGACAGGCCACAGAGCTTTGCTGTGCCAGGGCTTGCAGTTTGGAAAATGTATTAGTGACACAGGTGACATTGAAACCAGGACATTATAAAAATTAGTTTACAATGGAAATTATTCATTGTCAGGAGTCTGGGTCAGACAGAAGATGATTCATCTGCACACAGACCTCTTGGCTGAAGAGCACATTGCTTGCTTGATGCTAGAAAGGATTTTATTCAAATGGATCAAGATGTTACTTTTGTATCTGCTCAGAATCTTAATGAGGTCAGATGTTAAGACATCTTTATGGTCTGTTTGATTTCCCCAATATTAGAGCTTTACTTCTGGAATCAACTATTACCAATTATGTTCTCACCTATAAGTTTAGCAGAAAAAATCATGTCATTTATTATCATTTTGTGAGTTTACACACACACACACAAATATTAGAAATACAAAATAGACTGCAATTTATTAACATTAAACATTTAATACAGAAAGAGGGGGCATTACAAAGTTGTATGTCATGAACATACTGAATGTGCGCAATTGCCTTTAAATGTCTAAATTATAGCCATTATATGCCACTATAGAGATTATAAACTATATTGAAGTAATATATTCCAGCATCCAAAAAATCAAAGTAAATAAAAATAATTCTGCTCATTGGCTCAGTTAGGAAGGGGTGAGAGTAATAACAATAAAATAATAATGCACAGGGCAAGACAGATGCATCCTGCAGCAGCCCAGGCTGGTGTGCAAGGGAGGGAGCCAGAGGCTTCCAACTCATAAAAATGAATATGTGTCTGCCAAAGAAAGGCTGCACACGTCTTTTTCCCACTGTTGCCCTCCAGGGGCCTATTCTGACCTCGCTTTGTCCCTGTTGAGAGACAGAAGAGAGAGTATGAATATGACTTAGGACATTTAGCTCCAGGAGCCTGCTACTCTGGGGGTAGTTCAGCACCTGCCTCTCCTGGGAGTAATTTAGCACCTGGATCACACTGACCTTGCTCGGGTAGGGCTGTGGTAAACACCCTACCTGGGCCTTACCTGAGGGTTTTTCCTCATTAGGAGATGAAGTGGAGCATGATTTCAAGTTTATCCTTTAACAAATGGGAAAACTGAGGACTGGATACTATCAGTGATAACTTATTCCACTCATTTTTCCCCAAGAGTTTGCTTACTGAAACCTAAAGTCACAATTATCCATGCTGGCAGCTACAGACATGTTTTCTCAGGACCATAGTATAGACAAAAGAATTCTAGGACAATGCCCTTATCCCTGGCTTTCTACCACGACTTTTTTTTTTTTTTCTGAGCTTACATGTACCATATTTCTTCAGAGTCTCAGGAGATTGAGCAGTGGATGAGATATGTCTGGTTGGGCCAGACAGGTGTTGGGAAGAGGGCAGCAGAGACAGAAAAATCCTTTTTTGTCAGCCCTTGTTACACACATTCAGAGCCTGTATGGCAGAGGATCAAGCTCATTACATGGAAACACTTTTTTCGTATGGCAAAATGTATGAAAATCTTAAAGGTCAAGCTGTATGCTACGAATTGTTGAGAAGCTTTGAAGCATTTGCTAACTGAATCATGAATTACAGTATATGTTAAAATGATTATGTTTAAAAATAGAGCAGATACACAGAGTTGAAAGTGACTTTGAAAATTCCCTTTATCCATGTAGTTGCATATGCCTATTTATCACAAAACTTTTAAAATAAAAGGGTTATTTTAGAGTAGTTTCAGATTGGTTGGAAAATAGCAAAGCCAGCACAGTTTGTTTTCATATACCTTAGACCAAATTTTTCTATTATTGTATATTAGTTTGATACTGTCATTATGTAATATATCATTATTGTTATATTATTAACTAAGGTGATATTTTATTCAGATTCTTTTTCTTTAAATGTAGAGCTCTTTTCTTTTGTTTCACCAACCAATCCAGGGGACCACATGACATGCTTGCTGATACTTGGTGGGACCATATGACAACATGGACTCTGATCTCTTGGGGGGGACAACACAACATGTACTCTGATCTCTAGTTTTTGGGACTCTTCTTTCTATGATGCTTTCTCAGGCTTTATTTGCTATTGTCCAATTGACAATTTTGAGTCAAGCCAGTTCGATATTTTGGACAGTATCCCTCAATTTCATTTTTCTAATGGTCTTGAGTTATAATGAGAGTATGGGCTTTGAGGAGGCCGACTGTGCACAGGTATAGGTACAGACTCCTTACTATGTCCATGGGGAATAGGTGAATACCATCCAAATGAATCCTATCACTTTTGAAGTTGAACTTGGCCACTTGGGCAGTGTCTTACATGATACTTTGCTCTGAAGTTACTCATTGTCTCTGTCCATCATACATATATCTTTTGGAAGAAAGATACAGTCAGTGCTTCAGGAGAGAAACAACTGTTCTTGAGGGTGTATAATCTTCATCACTTATTCAGAGCTCTTTTACATGAGAGACTAGTCTGTTCTCTTCCACTTACTTATGCAATCATTTGCTTACATTAGTATAAACTCATGTTTATTTAGAATCTGAATTATAACTAAATTCTACTATGATTTTTTCCATAGATTGTTACACTTTGGGTCAATGTTTCCGAAATTGTTCCCTGTTTGGGACATTAAGAGCTCTTTTACTTGCCTTCTGTGATGTATCTCCAATACTGTAAGTTGTTTATTAATATGCCCTATTTCCTTTTAAAACAAAATGTTGAAGTCTGGAATTAGCCATTTCACTAAGGATACCTGGGTTCTTAATTAGCCATTTCACTAAGGAGAAGAGCCTTAGTATCCAGGATCCAAAGTCTGGATATTGAATGTGCTTTTTGCTAGTTGAGTACTGTTCCTAACAATTCTCAGTTGACAAAGCAATAAAATGCATGGGGTTAAACCAGCCATACCACATATAAGTTTATATATGTTGCTAGGTTAATATGTTTCTATAACAGCTAATCAGTCACTACAGATGTCTCCAACTAATGTTATTCATTAGCACATGAACTCTTTGAGTCTTTCTCCTTGTTTTGACTGTAAATTACAACTCTAGTAGTATGACAGTTGGCTCTTTCCATTAACTACTGATTTAATCATTACACACACACACACACACACACACACACACACTTACATGCACCACCACCACCAATGTCACACTACCATACCCATAACACAACACAAAGGCCCCTGATGTCCAGCACATAGCACCGTTTCCATTAGTTATTCACAGAAATACATTTATAAGACCCTTCTGCTATAGGCACCAGACCACTTGGATGTGAGATATAGAGAAATCAAACTGGAATTGGCCTGGAAGATTCCTATCTAATATCTATCTCTCATGTTGTCAGGTGTTGCTATGAAGATTGCTGCTGCGTAAAGATACTGATGGTCTATACCAGGTGTGAACTCTATTAACCATAATATCAATCTGACAGATGAGATATACCCATTGGTGCAGTGCAGGTGTGTTGGCTAGTTTTATGTCAACTTTACACAAGCTAGAGTCATCTGAGAGGAGAGAACCTCAATTGAGAAAATGCCTCCATAATCTGTGATTGTAGGACACTTAGAAAAAAGCAGGCTGAGCAAGCTTTAATGAACAAACCAGTGAACAGCACCCTACCCATGGCCTCTGCATCAGCTCCTATCTCAGGATTGCTGTGCTGTTTGAGTTCCTGCCCCAACTTACTTCACTGAAGGACTATGGATGTGGAAGCATAAGCCAAATGAATATTTTCCTCTCAAACTTGCTTTTTGGTAATGTTATTTCATCGTAGCAATAGAAGCCCTAACTAAGTCAGAGGGTATGGCTGTTATAGGGAAAAACAAATGTTGTTAATTGGATTTCGGCCTTGCTGTATCAGAGGAAATCTGTACCTAATACTGTGAACCTGGTCCAAATCCCAAAACTGAAGAGCTCTTTGAGCTAAGATGGCTGCTCAGCTGAACTGACATAGCATTAATCTACCCTCTATCCGTGTTAGTATATACAGACAAAAGCTACTCCCAGCACTCAAGAGAGAAGCTTTTTCTTGTAGTGGATGACCCATGGTTACACAAGATATTGAGAAGAAAGAACAGTTGGAGGTTCAGCAAAACATGCACACCATCCCGCTAAGGCTTGGGAAACATGGCGGAAAGGAAGGCAGAAGTAATGGAGAAGCTCAAAGATGAAAAGTCTGTCTCCATCCTCTTAGATCTATTTTTAAATCACTAGATATATTAACATCCATGCTTTGAGCTTCTGAAAACCACCTGATATCCATTTGTCAAACTTTTTCCTCTTCATTTTAACCTTCCATCAATCACTGCTCTGGTCATGCTGTCTCTTGATGTTTTCTTTTTTAGAATGTCAGAGATATGAAACTGCACAGAATGTAGACTTTCACACTGCACTCGCAGACTTGTTAATATTAAGATTCATCCATGCCTTGGTGTGTCTTTATGGATCATTCTTTTTAATACTAAATAGTACTTCATTAAATGAAGGCATTAACATTTGCTTTTTAATTTATTTACTTAAAGGTACTTAGCTGACTATTATTCAAAAAATAATGATAAAGCTGATAATCATTCAAGTGATGATCTTTGTTTGATGCATGCTTTCAGATTTACTGTGTAATATTACAGACCACAATTTTCTGGTCATGCTATTGCTTTTGTGAGAAACTGTCAAATTATCTTGTAAAGTGACAGCTTTTAATTTATTCTTAGAATGGTTCTGAAATTTGTTCAATATTTTCATCTTTAGTTGGCATCATGACTCTACTAGACTTCACAGTTAATTATGATTTGTATGTAGCTCTATCCTACTAATAGTGATTTGAATGTTATCAGTGACTCATGATGTGGACGAACTCTACTTTTTTAACTTGCCTGTTCTCTCCACTCTCTTGAGGTATCTAGTTATATATTACCCTTGTTGCCCTTTAGTGGGGCACCTTTACTCCCAGTTTTCGAGTCATGACTATTCTGTGTAAATTCTGGAACAACTTTTCCATTTAAAGTATTCACCAAATATTTGTTAAAATGTCTCCAATTTTCTTATATTCCAAATAATGTTTTTCAATTTTTGATTTTAATAAAATCAATTCATTACATTTCTTCATGAGTTGTATTTGGGGTATCCAAAATTTTATCACCAAGTTCAAGACAACTGAGATTTTACTCCACATTATTTTCCTATACTTTCATACCTAGTCCTGAATTTTTCACTTAAATCAATGATCCACTCTGAGCCAATGATAGTTGAATGATAAGATTTGTGGCTAGGCTCAAAGCTTAGTATGTTGAAGAAAATCCTCTTAAAAACACTATTTGTTGATCAGCTGTCCTTTCTGAATTTAAAGCATATTCTGCTTTTTTCTCCTATAATTCCTTATTAGTTTTTGGAAAGTTTTGAGTTTTCTCCAATGTGTTTTGATCATATTCACCTCCTTTGCTTACCCTACCAGCTTTTTCTTACTTAAAGACATATTCCTTCAATAATGATTTTGTTGCTCAAATATTGGTAGATATGTGGTCTTCTACTAGAGCATGGTGACCTAGAAGTTAACAATTACCATTTGCTCCATATGTTTTTTAATTTAATTATTTTTTTACGTATTCACTTTACATCCTGCTCACTGACCCCTTCCTGGTTGTCCCCTCCCACAATCCTTCTCCCATGTCCCATTCCCTGCTCCTCTGAGAGGGAGGAGGCTCCTCTGAGTATCCCCCAACCTTGGCACTTCTAGTCTGTGAGGCTAGGTGATTCCTCTCCCACTGAGGCCAGGCAAGGCAGCCCAGCTATAATAAGAACATATGTCGCATACAGGCAACAGCTTTTGAGATAGCCCCCATTTCAGTTGTTCAAGACCCACATGAAGACCAAGTTGCACATCTGCTACTTATGTGAGGGAGGCCTAGGTCTAGGCCATGTAGGTTCTTTGGTTGGTGATTCAGACTGAGAGCCCCAAGGATCTAGATTAGTTGACTCTGTTGGTCTTCCTGTGTAGTTCCTATCCCTTTCAGTAGAGCAATCCTTCCTCCTGATCTTCCAAAAGAGTCCCCAAGATCCATCTACTGTTTGGCTGTGGCTGTCTGTATCTGTCCGAGTCAACTTATTTACTCTATATTTTGGGGTGGGTGGGATTTTGTGACAATCTCCCCTCAGTATGTTACAATTTGGTCTGTCTTGGACTTGCATAGGTTCTGTGAATACTGTGAAAAGTTTCCTGTTCCTAAAACCATTATTATGCGAAGAATCTATTATTAAACAGGACATTGGCCATAAGGCAGAACATTTTTGTATTATTCTGCTAGATTTAACTGTCTCCTAATGACTTATTGTTATACCCATGGGTCAGTGCATCACTCAACCCTCATTGGAGAGATTTCTATTTGTAGTATATAGTGATTACCAAGAAGATTCAAAACTGACCAATGTGCAGAGAACAAGAGACTATGCCTACTTAGTCCATTTGGTGTCGTACTTAGGTGCATGTATATAATTTTGGTCTAGATAATCTATCAGAGAGATTATGCTTGGAAAGGATGATTCTGCTTCTCTGAGCATCATTGATTACCTGTAGCTCTTCATCTAGGAGTGGGGCATTCTGAAATATCTTTTGACTATTTTATCATGTCAATTGATATTGTTATGCAGATCTTGTTTAGACAACTTTGTTGCTGAAAATTCGTGAGGGTATTCATGACATGCTTGTCATGTCTAGAAGACATTTTCTAGTAGCAGCTCTGCTGGTCCTGGTCCTCTGGCTCTTTTAGTCTTTTTACTCCCTCCTCTGTGATGGTCTCTGATGCTTAGATGTAGGAGTTAAATTGTAGATGTGCCAACAGGGGATGAGCACTTTATATTCTGCATTTGGGCCTGTGTAAACTTCTGTAGTGGTCCCTATCTGCAGCAAAAATAAGTATTCCATGAGGAGTGTGATTGATGTGGGGAGGCCCATCCCCTTGTGGGTAGGGTCATACCTGGGTTGAGAACCCTGGGTTTTATAAAAAGATAGGCTCAGCAAGCTATAAGAATCTAGCCAAAAGGCAGAACTTCTCCATGACCTAAGCATTATTTGCTGCATCTAGGTTGCTGCCTGGTTAGACTTCCTACCTTGGATTCCCTCTAAGGATTCTGACTCAGAATATATAAGTCAAATAAACTTCTTCCCTAGTTTGGTGCGGTCATTTTAGTAAGACTAGTCCACATAGGCTCATAGATTAGAATACTTGGTCAGTAGGAAGTGCCACTATTAGAAGATATGGCCTTTTTTGAAGTTTGTCACTGAAACTGGGCTTTGACATTTCAAAGCCTATGCCAGACCTAGTGACAATGCCCCCGCTATCCCCCGCCCCGGCCTATGGCTTCACACTATGCTGATAATAGACTAAACCTCTGAAACTGTTAGAATAGCCCAGTTAAATGCTTTTCTTTGTAAGAATGTTGTAGTCTTGGTGTGTCTTCATAGCAAAAGAATGATGACCTAAGACTGTTGCTTTTGGTGATGGTATTTCATCACAGCACTTGCAACATTTACTAAGACAAGAACTTTACTTACAACCTACAAGCAAATATTTTCTTTAGATTGCTATAGACATTCTATAAAGTCTCTTTAAGCAATTAATTGTTGCCCTGCATGTGCAGAAACTTTTCAACTTTGTTTATTATTGGTATTATTTTCTTAGTTATTAACATTCTTAAAGTCCTTACTTGTTAGCCACCATTTTGATCCTGGGAATCTAACCTGTGTCTTCTTCATGAGCAGAAAGTGTCCTTAGGAGCTGAGTCATTGGTTAAGTTCATATTATTCTCATTGTCTTCAATATAACATTATTTCTGTACTAGATAATTGTCCAGAATACCAGTGAGTCCACCAAAAGCATGGTTTATTTCTGCTATTAAAATTTTCATTTTAGCTTCCATTTTCTTCCTTTTATTATAAATTTCATCTTATATACACCATTTATACTTTACTGGTATTTGTTTTGCCTAGGTCTTTTTTATTCATTAAAAATATATTATTTGAAAATTCATGTATAAATAAAATATTTCTTTACCAGCTCTCATTCTCCCCATTCAGCTCTTCCCAGGACCTTCTTATCATTTCCCCATTATAATTAATTAACCAAGTAATTAATCAAGTCACTGAATCCAATTAGTGTTGCCCATATGTTCATGGGTGTGGTATGAGGACAACCCCCACTCCTCCAATGTGGCCCTTTCTTCACTAGCAGCTTCTAATTGCCAATAGTGTCTCAATTAGGAGGTATGTCTTAAAACCCATAGCAAACTTCATGCTGGAAATTTTAGCTGGTTTGATCTTGTGCAGGTCTTATAGAGAAGTTAATCACCGCTCCTGTGAGTTTAGGTGTGTAGCACATGTACAGTGTCTGAAGGACAGCACTT